ATAAAGATAAAAAAAGTTCAAAATCAGCTCTGAAGGAGTCTGATTTGTCTTTCCAAAAGCTCTGATACAAATCTCTCTTTGTCTCTCTAGAAAGTAAGATACAAACCTAAAAGTGGCTGAAAAACTTAAAATATAAGCTAAAAACGAACTGGGGCCAAAGTGCAAATAATGAAACTTCTGGGCAAATCTCCCTTTAATTTTTAATTAGCTCCTGCAAGGTCTTCTTACGGGGTGACGAGCGTCACTCATGGAATAATACGTCTCGTTGTTGCTCTCATCGGGAAGGTCTCCAGTTTTGCTCCAGAATGCTCCAAAATCTCCAATTATGCTCTAAAAACCTATTTGCCCGTAAAGACTTTAATAAGACTCTAAAAAGACTAAAAAGACTCAATAAAAATGACTTATATCATGGTTAAAAAACCGTGATATATCAACTCCCCCAGACTTAGCGTTTGCTTGCCCTCAAGCAAACAGAAGACTAAAAACAGAGTCGAGGTTTAAAAACACGGGAACTCACCTTCTCATAGATCATTGTTTTGACTATTCATCCTGTAATCCATACACTGCATTTGTTAAACCAAATCAGACCACCATGCTCCTTAGACATTCACAGCATCCCAAATTCAACTCATAAATTCACAGCATTGTCCAATAACTATCCTTGCTAAACCTCATTAGCAGTCTAAACATTCAATAACCTTTTATATTCATTCCCATACTATACCTTAATAAACTTCCAGTGCAATCTATCAACCCTTGATTCTCTTTCTCTCCCCCAGACTTATTCTTTTTTTATGTTTCATTATATTATTCAGGTGTAGGTAAATAAAGGCATCACGGGATAATCCTAAACTTACTTCCAACTATGATCATCTCTTTAAAATCAAATATTGGGATCATTGGTAAATTTCTTACCGTTCATCCGAAGAGAATCATATCAAATTTTCCAAATTTATCACCTTTTATTTCCTTTTTTTTTAAACAAGAGAGAGGAGTATCATTACTTTTCAAACATTGCAGGCAATTCATCAGTTATGAATGAGGAATCAAGCTCTATGAACATCAAACTTACCAACTTAGTCTTTTTTAAGCTCAAGTTAAGTGGCCTTTGCTTAAACAATGGATGTTTCTAGTTAACTGGTCAGCCAAAGAATTTTTCATCAGTCAGATACTGATATTAATCATGCAGCAATGGTCACTCAGATCAAACAATCAACATAAACGATCAAGAAAAGTTCCTAGTTCCCAACTAATTTTGACTCACTAAAACAGGTTTTTGACACAACTAATTGACTCTCAAAACAGAACACATTGTCAGTAACTACCTCCTCCAGAATTAAACAACATTGTTCCCAGTGTTATCAAGCCCGAAGTTGGCAAAAGAGATGAAGTGGGACGGAAATAAGAGAGAAAACCAAGTGTTTAACTGAGTCTGCAGCTGGTGACGCTCGTCACCCCTCCTTGGTGACCACCTTTGTGGCCATCTAGGTCGTCACCACTCCGTCAAACCACTTGATTTATTTTTAACTGTTAGAAGAACGAAAATAAGCATATGTAGATGGATTAGATGACTTACCAGTGTGTTGCTTCCCACCAAGCGCTTGTTTTCAATCATTAGCTTGACTATGTCGGGGCTCAGACATCTGGTGGATCAGAAAGTGGCAGTAAATGCCTCGGAGAAGAATATCTCCTCATCCATGGGGGTGTATAAGCAGTAGGTGCATAAAATCTTCCAAGGAAACGAGGAATAGCAGCAGGGCGGGTTTTGACTTTGGGTGGGACACTTCTTTTTCCAGCAGAATCATCAAAAGAAACACCAGGCCCTCTACGAGAATCTTGTTGCTTGCATAAGTGTGAAGCAGATTTTGCAACTTTCTCAGAATTCTCAGCCAATGCCTCGGGAACAATCAGCTTGTTCATTTGTTCACTAGTATCCAACTCCTTGACATACCCAGCAGTAATGTCTTCTGAATATTGCATGATTGGTTCTTCATCCATGAAAGCCCTTACAGAAAAACTCTGGCCATCAATGGTGGATCTCTCTCTTAACTTGTCCATGTCAAAATTCATGACAACATCACCCAAATCAAGCCTTATGTTCCCCTTTTTCACATCAATGATGGCGCCAGCTGTAGCTAAGAATGATCTTCCTAGAATAAGAGGGAATCACGCAGCCTTCAATTTTAACAAGAACATCCTCTAAGATACCTTTTGGGGTCTTGTGGATCGATCAGCTAGGATAAGAGATATCCCAGCTGGCTTGAAATCAGTCATTCCAAGTCTAGCAGAAACAGAGGAAGGCTTCAAGTTAATACTTGACCCTAAATCACAAAGAGAATGAGGGAACCTTCGTGTTGAGATTGAACAATCAAGCACAAAGTTTCCTGGATTAGGTAGCTTCTCTGGAATTCTGCTTTCAATTATAGCATTGGCTTGTTCACAAACAATCACCTTCTTCTTCTTCTTTGGAACTGTACCCAAGAGCATTGCACTAATGTCTCTGGTAAGCATTGCTCCTTCCTCATGACTTACATAATTCACAATCATTCTCTTAACATACCTTCTTAGTGCAAGGTGAAAGCTTGACTATATCAACAAGGGAAATCTCAACAATTAGCTTGTCTATCATTGCTTGCATCTGGCTTCTTCTAGCTCAAGTTTAGACTTCCTAGGATGCTTGTGAAAGGGTATCTTGGGTTTATAAACTTGTTCCTTGTTCCTTGTCATTATCTGCACTACCTGGTGACGACCCCTGGGTGACGATCTCGCTCGTCACCACTCCGTGAGAACGTATTTTTGGCCTTTGAATATTGGGTGACAAGTGACACCCCTCCTGAGTGATGCTCGTCACCCTCTCTAAGCCTGTAAAATATTCATCTTCAAACTCCATCAATTGCATGATCTGCTCTGCACTCATCCTCTTTTTCTACACTGAATTAAGCTATTTTTTACTTCATTGAGTTAAGCTCTTTTCACTTATGACTGTAATGGCATTGCTACTATATGGATTTACAAATTTAAACCTCTTTCTAAGGGGTCTTCCATTTGATATGCCCAAAGAGTATACTATAGGATGAGAATGAATTGACAAGGATCGAAGGAGAAGCAACTAATGAGCTTGCAGCTGGAAGGCAATGGATAGGAGAAAAATTTGTAACATAATTATAAAGAGAAGTAAAGTCTTTTTTTTTGTGCAACAGAGAAGTAAAGTCTATAGACAGAAATAGTCGACTTCAGTACAAGGTACTGCGTAGTTGGATTGTAATTAGCTGCAGAGTTGGTTTAATTTATAATTGGGTGGTAAAGAGATAACGAGAGAAGCTCTAGCGTTCTAAGTCCTAACAGTGTTCTTGTTATGATAAGCAATAGAGATTACGTACCTCTTTCTTGTAACCAGTTCACGCTAAAGTTAATTAGTCTACATCACATAAACTTTGAAACTAAGGGAGGGAAATTCAAACGGATTTACAACTTATAAGGTTTTTTTTTTTGTTTAAATACAACTTATAAGGTAAGTTCTAGTAAACATATGATTGATTCTCTTGACGTATCTATATCCTCTTCTTCGATGATTAATTTTGGTTCTCATCTTATTTTAGATTGTAGCTTTAGATGAACACTAGCATGGAGGTTTCTTATAAATTGCTTTTACTAAAGATTAATTGGTTCTTGAAAAGTAGAGTTTAAGTTCATCACCTTTCATCATACACAAATATCACTTCATATAAGGCAAATAGTATAATTAGCGGTGTTTGGTTGTATAGGGAATCATTGATGTTTTAATCTTTCCAATATCTATAACTATTGATGTAAGCTGCAAAGCATCTGAAAGATACACAAGGATTCGTTTAGTTTTACTGTTTGGGGTATGACCCTTCTTCAAGCATCAGAGCAACTTTGATCAGTTGCGAGTTTACTACATATTTAAAATTAAAATTCTTTTCCCATTTTTTACACTGATCCTTTTTACATAAAAATTTATTTAGAAAAGAAATCGGTATGTAGGGTAGATACCAGCCTAGTTAAAAACTGGAAGCTCACTACAAGAATCGGTTTGTATAACTACATTTTTTTTTTAGATATGATATAATATTTGTAATAAAAAAAAAATTGATACGATTTGCTACAAATATTTTTTGTGAGTTTGGCGGGGTAGCTATTTGGTTTTTTGTAGCGAATTGAAACAAACTGCTACAAAAGACTCACAAACTGGCATTGTAACATTTTAAATCATAATAGCAACGTTAAAATGTGTAGCAAATGGATATAAATTTGTGACGGAGTATTTGTTGCAAATTGACACAGACGGTTACAAATTTTGTGTTTTAAATAGCAACAAATTGTCACAATTGAATCCATGGGAAAAGCAACAAATTGATTCAAACGTTTGAAGCAAATATGTTAAAAATATGATACTGAATATTTGTTGCAATTTGACACAGATGACTACAAAATTAGTGCCGTAGAAAAGGCTACAAATTGTTTCATAAATTTGAAGCTAAGTTGTTACAAATTTACTACAGTTTATTAGTGGAAGTATGAGACGACAAGTGACGAAAAAATTGTAGGAAAAATCAACAAAAACTACAAATCCAACGTCACTATTATACACCAATAGATTGAAAATGTTGTGGCAATTGAGCTACAAATTTTGTTGTAACTATATAACCAGTAACAAATTAGTTACAAATGAATCAAATCTTTTTTACACTAAAAATCATAATTAGTAACCATGAAAAAAAATACAATAAAAACAAACTAGAAATTCAAATAGAAGATAATTTATCAATAACAAACATTCCTTTATATTACAAAATAACAAACATTCGGTTACATTACAAATGTAGAGCGACAAGATTAGAAATTAGGATTTAGTATACACATCAAAAGCCTAATCAGTTATAGCATAAAGCGGTAGTCTAATACATATACACATATTTGATATGAAAAATTAGGTGCCACATATCAAATTTATATACCTAAAAATTCATAACATTACCTTATGTCATGTACGATAAGTTCAAGAAGCCTGGGTGTTCTTCTTCTCCATCTTCTCCATCTTCATGGACATCTTCTTCATCATCATCGATATCTTCGTCTGCATTGGGGTTTTGAAGATTATGCAAGGCTGCTCCTACACTGGCTTCCAAGTCAGATTGAAGAACCCGTGCTGGACCAGTAGCAGAACCCGTGTGACCAACTGCAGTTCCTTGCCCATCCTTAGCCATGTAACACTTCATGTAATCCACCACAATTGACAACTGCTCTTGGAGAGCAGCTACTTGGCGCTCTAGAGAGAGTCTTGTGACAGCCATGGATGAGCTTTCCCCACGCTCCCGAATTTGAGGCTCACCACCAAGCCCAAATATACGTCCTGCTTGGCTTGGTGTCACAACCTACAAACAAGTAATTCAACTGTTAGCTACAATATATAAAGAGAGGAAACCACTTGAGAAATAAAACAGGAAGAATTGTAAACGGTTTTTTTATTTAAAAAATAATAATAATTGTAAACCCTTTATGATTGATTAACAAGCCAAAAAATAACAGTAAGAGAAAGCATATATATCCTTTTAGGGAAATTTGAGAAGAGAACGGAAAATCATACTTCATAAACTATGCAGTTTAAACCACAAATAAGATCTGATATCGCAACAAATATTATGGAGCAATAAGCATACCTTCAAGTACCGATTGTCTTCTTCAAGCTGGGTCAAACCAGTAACGCCGGTGCCCTGGGTTTCTGACCCTAGAACCTCATTAGTTTGTACCTGCCTCTGTATTTCTTCATCTATAAACTCAGCCCTTGCATCAACATAGGTGCCATCAGGTTTCCTATGGGTCTCTCGGAGTACACGGAGCATTGAAGGCTCAATGCCTTCCCTTTGTCTCTGCGTAAGAAAAAAAGAATCCACTTAACAGCTTAGAATACAAAATATGATGTAATTAGAGTAGGAGTTTTTAGAGAACTGGACACTTACAATAAGCTCTCTGACTTGGTTAAAACTCCTTGCCCCTGCAGTGTGTCTATGAGGGCCAAATCCAGATCGGTTTGATAACCTGTTTGCAGCAGCCGTAGCACTCCTCTTCTTGCCGTCTTCACTGTTCCAATATACCCACATAGTATCCCATATGGTCTGACTTATCCACTCAGACCTCTCAGGTCTCACTTTATCCTTTGAGACCATATCTCTAAACCGTGCTGCAGTGATGTTGTGCCAAAAGGTGTACACCATTGCTCCATGAACTGGATCCCAATTGAAAGCTTGCTGAAATTATTAAAAATCAATGAGCCGTGTGGATTGATTGATTAAGGCATTACAGTTGCAGTTAATCTACTTAATCAGAGTTGAAAGAATGTGTGTACTGATATATCATGGTTTTTATGGTTTTTAACAATGATATAAGTTCTTTTTATTGAGTCTTTTTGGTTTTTTTAGAGTCCTAGAAGAGTCTTTGCAGGTTATAGCATGTCTGGAGCATAATTGTAGATTTTGGAACCTTTTGGAGCATTCTGAGTTGAAGCCACGAAGCACCTAGCTCGAAGAAGAAAGTATGCCATATGGTGATGTTCGACACCCACCAAGGAAGGAGGTCGTGGCCTGTTTTTAAAAGATTGGGAAGAAATTGCAGTTTTAGCCCAGAAGTTCCAGTTTTTGCAAAAAGGCTCCAGATCGTGTTTTAGCTTGTATATTAGGTTTTTCAGCCATTCTTTTGGCATCTATCTTGTATCTTATTATTTTGGAGAGCTTTAGAGAGAGATTTGTAGAAGAGCTTTTGGAGAGACAAATCAGACTCCTTCAAAGCAGATTTCGAACTCCTTTATTTCTACTTCTTATTTCTTTTATGCAATCTATTCTTTTCATGATGTTTTCTCAAATCACCATGTCTGAGTAGTTTGTTAGTTAAGTTAGGGCTTTTCAAAGGTTGAAGAAGAGTTTGTAGAATTGCTAAAAACTTATAGGAAATTCATTGGTTCTTCATCTGTGCTTGCATTCATATCGATTTCTTAGACACATCATCTGGATTTCGAAACCCTAGGTTTTTTGATAGATGTGAGAGCATTATTAATCACCTGAACTAGTATTAGATGAGCAAAACGCCCTAGTACAAAGAGATTTGGCTTAGACGTTTTGTGAACAATTGAACCTGATCATTACTGCATGTTTAGGTTGTTAGGGTTTGCAAAGAGATTTGAAACTCTGTGATTTAGACATAGATAACTTCTGCAATGAGAATTGATTAGTTATATCTTTGCGATTCATGTTCAAGACGGTTTTAATTCATTCCTGATTGCATGCATTCTACACTCTCGGATTCAACCTGCGAACTGTCTTGACTTAGCGCCTTTAGCCTTCTGAACTTTAAGAACAAGCGTAAAAACGCCCTCTTGCATTTATTTTACTGTTTTGCATTACATTCATTATTTATCGCTTAGCTTAATCTGAATCTATAATCGCTAGTGTGGTTTACATACTCCTTTGGGATTCGATAACCCCTTGTACTACAACTGCTTTTGCTGTGCACTTGCAGTAGTTTTATTTGGGTAAAACCGGACCCTATCAAGTTTTTGGCGCCGTTGCCGGGGAGGAATAGCTGCCTATCGATTTTTAGTATTAGGATTTTGTCTAAGTTTTTATTTGTTTACTGATTTTCAGCTACTTTTCCTTGTTCCTATTTCAGGTGTATGCCTAATCGCAGAACCAGAAGCAACAAAGAGAAGGAGCTTGTGACTTTGAGCATCGACGAGCTTGCTAGGTTGGAGAGAACTAACAGGAAAGCTAAGAAGCAATCTGCAATGGTCGCTCCACTGATCTTGGTTGAAGATGCAGAAGGTCACTTGGTTGACAGGGAAGGAAACAGGAGGAACGAAGAGGGGCAGAGAATTGATCAAGAGGGGAATGTCATTGTTGAACAGCAGGTTCAGCAAGTGGCTGAGAACGTGGGAGTCCCTGCTGCTGTCAATAACGCTGCTGGGCGTTTTGTTCAGAGGACTCTAGGTGATTACAACAGACCTGGTCAGTTCTATGCCAACAGAGCTGCAATCCGACCTCCTGCCTTCCAGAGGAACGATTTTGAGGTCAAACCTGTCTACTACCAGCTGGTTGGTCAGCATCCCTTCCATGGTTTACCTCATGAGCATCCTATGGATCACATAGAGAGATTTGAGGACTTGGCTTCCAGTGTCAAAGCTAATGGGGTTAGCAATGACTTTCTGTTCTGCAAGCTGTTTCCTTACTCTCATGAAGGAGAAGCTGCATATTGGCTGAAGCAACTGGAACCTGCTTCATTGACCACTTGGGAAGACACTAAGAACGCCTTTCTGAATAACTTCTATAATGATGCAAGGTCAGAGGACATGAGGACGAAAATTGCTTCCTTTACACAAGGCCCTACTGAAGCTTTTAAGGCTTCTTGGATCAGGTTCAAGTCTTATCAAAGGGACTGTCCTCATCATGGCTTCAGTCAGGTGCAATTACTTGGGATTTTCTTCAGAGGCATTGACTGGAAATATCAGATGGCGCTGGATGCAGCAAGTGCAGGAAACTTCAACACCAACAGACCAGAAGAAGCTGTAAGATTGATTGAAAACTTGGCCTGCAGTAACAGCACTAAAAATGCAGATTTTCAGAGAAAGCAGCAGGCTGGTTTGAATGATGGAAACCAAATAGCTGAAGTTAAGGCTAAGTTGGACAGTATGCACAGCCTTTTGGTGGGAAAGAAGTCAGTTCAGTTTGCTGCAGAAGTGGAGAGTTTCGAAAATCCTGAAGAATTTGAGCAGAAAGATGTTAATTTCATCAATGGAGGGGGTTTTCAGAGCCAAAAGTTTGGAAATCAGCAATGGAACAGAGGCTACAACAGCAATAATCAGCAGAGTACCTTTACAGGAGGTCAGAGCACGCCTGGTTGCACTCCTAAGCCCCCATTCCAGAAGACTGAAGTTGAGAAACCTTACCAAAACAGCAGGAATTATGGTTCTTCTTCCTACCAAACTGCACCTCCACAAGACAATAAAATGGAAGCTATGCTGGAGCAGGTACTTGAAGGACAGCAGAAGATGACAGTGAACTTCAATGGCAAGCTAGATTCGCTGTATCAAGACCTGAATGGAAAAATTGAGAGTCTGAACTCTCACATGAAGAAGCTTGATGTGCAGGTTGCTCAAACTGCAGAAGCTGTTCAAAGGCAAGAGGGATTCCTTCCTGGAAGGACTGACATCAATCCCAAGCACCAGGTTAATGCCATCACAGTAAGGAATGAAAAGGAGCTTAAAACAGTGCAGAAAAAGAGGCTGAGTGCAGAGCAGATCGTGCAACTGATGGAGTCTGAAGATGAAAAATTTTCTGTCTCAGAGGTGAGTGACGAGCGTCACCAAGGAGGAGTGACGCTCGTCACCAACCTACAAGGGTATCGGGGGTTGTCACAAGTGAGTGACGAGCGTCACCCACCTGGTGACGGTCGTCACCCACCCCAGAACGAAGCTGCTTCGCCTGTAACTGCAAATTATGACCAGGAACGTGTCTATAAACCCAAAACACCATTCCCCAAGCATACTAGGAAGTCTAAACAGGAGATAGAAGAAGCCAGATGTAAAGCTATGATAGACAAGCTGATGCTTGAGATCTCTCTTGTTGATGCAGTCAAGCTTTCACCAGCTCTAAGAAGGTATGTAAAGAGAATGGTTGTGAATGGTGTAAGTCCTGAGGAAGGAGCATTGCTTACCAGAGACATCAGTGCAATTCTCTTAGGCACAGTTCCAAAGAAGAAGAAGAAGGTGACTGTTTCTGAACAAGTCAATACCATCACTCAAAGCAGAGTTCCAGAGAAGCTATCTGATCCAGGGACCTTTGTGCTTGATTGCTCAATATCTGCAGGACGTTTTCCACACTCTCTATGTGATCTAGGGTCAAGTATTAACTTGATGCCTTTCTCTGTTGCTGCTAGACTTGGAATGACTGATTTCAAGCCAGCTGGGATCTCTCTCATCCTAGCAGATCGATCCATAAGGACCCCAGAAGGCATGTTAGAGAATGTTCATGTTAACATTGAAGGTTGCATAATTCCTACAGATTTTGTGGTTCTGAAATATGCTGAAGAACCTAAAGATCCTCTTATTCTGGGAAGACCATTCTTGGCTACTGCTGGAGCCATCATTGATGTTAGAAGGGGGAACATTGAGCTTGATCTTGGTGATGTTGTCATGAACTTTGACATGGATAAGTTAAGAAAGAGTTCTAGCATTGATGGTCAGACCTTTTCTGTAAGAACTTCTAGAGATGAAGAGACTGTCATGGAGCATTCAGAAGACACTATTGCTGAGTGTGTCAATGAATCAGATATTAGTAGGCAAGTGAGCAAGATGGCTGTTGAAGAGCCAATATCTGAAACTTCTGCAGAAGCTGTTGGGTTTGAGGATTGCAGTGAGGATCATATCTTCATGACTAGGCTTGAAAAAGAGGTTCTAATGAATGCCAAGTTGCTGGAGGAAGACGTGTATGTGATGGAAGCAACACTTGCAGAGCTGAATTGCAGGAAAACTGCAGAAACTCGAACTGTAGAGTCAGTGACGAGCGTCACTGACCTGGTGACGCTCGTCACCAACCTGGACACAAAGGAGAGACGTGATTTTACAGCTACAAGTCCATCATATGTTGCCAATCCGAAAATTCAACAGTCCACAACCCAGAAACCTGCAACTAAGCAAAGAAAGCTTGGTGTTTCTTTTGATGATTCTGCAGGAAAACGAAATGTCCCACCCACAGTCACGACCCACTCTGCTGATGTTCCTCACTTCCTTGGAAGTGTTCATACATCTACTGCTTACAAACCACCATGGATGAGGAGACATTCTTCTCCAAGGCATTCAATGCCACCTTCTGCTCCACCAGCTGTCTGAGCAGCATTCAAAGTCGAGCTAATGACTTTAAACAAGCGCTTAGTGGGAGGCAACCCACTGGTAAGTTTTCTTTTTCATATATTAGTTTAGTTTTCTATTACATAGCTACAAAAAAAAAACCCAAAAACATGAGAAAAAAAATCGAAAAAACAAAAAAAAAAAGAGTCACTTTGTTCAGTTTGCTTGGATGATGTCTTGTGAACTTGTTGGACCATGGATTATGCTTCATTTGGATGTTTTGATGTGTGTTTTGAGTGCTCTTACAGTCTTACTTCGGAGTACACATGATGGCATTGCATTTAAACATCCAACATGTCGATTTCTGGAGTATCAGAGATGGGGACGCTCGTCACCAATCTGGTGACGCTCGTCACCAGGTCCTTCGCGAGGTACCACTTTTCCACCTTGGTTTTACACGTTCTCATGCTTCATTTTGACCAACTCTTGGCTTAATAACACTGGGGACAGTGTTGTTTAAGTCTGGGGGAGGTGGTTACTGACGTTGTGTGCTTTGTGTCATGTTTATAGAGTCTTAAAGTTGAGTCAAAAACCTGTTTTTCTAGAGTCAAAATTTTTGAAACTGTTAGTTTTTCTTGGAACTAGCCATAGGACGTTTTTGCTGATAAGAACCATTGCCACAGTAGTTGATTACAAGTCTTACTAAGTTGAAAGTCATAGGTAGATCAGTCTAGCAATGAAGGTTTAGGTTCTTAGAGAATCTGGAAAATTTGCTGTTAGCTCCACCTTAATGAACTTTAAACTTCTTGTCTTGGTGATTGATTCTTATTGATCTTGATTCTCTCTTTAAGCACTGACAATAAGGTTAAGATACAGTCTCTCTTTGATCTTCCCTGATGTAGTTTTTAAAAGAAATTAAGTCCAAAGAATGGTGCATTCATGACCCTGTCTCCTCACAAAGAACAACAGTAGTGAACACACTCAAGAACCTGTCTCCTCACAAGGAACACAAGTATTGAGTAGCACCATTTCTTAGACTGAAAAAGTTTAGAAAAAAAGAAGTGAAAAATCAAAAATATCCTAAGGGAAGAGAAAATAGGAGAGCTGTGTTGAGATTGATTTGTTCAGTTGTTAGAAAGGGAAAAAAATCTGTAAAGTGATCAAGATGATAGAGCCTTGATGAAACTTCACACTTAGATAAAAAATAAGGAGTTAACAGTAGAAATTTTGGATTTCTTGAAGGGATTTAGACTGGACTTGAGAGATTTGCTAAGCTTGTGATGATAAGGCTGAAATTTGATCTTGTGTTGACTTTGTGGTATGTGGATTCGAAAGCTTTAACTAGTGTGGTGTTTCTGATGACTGACTGACTGTTTCTTGTTTTCAAACCTCGACATTATTCTTTGTCTAATGTTTGCTTGAGGGCAAGCAAAAGCTAAGTCTGGGGGAGTTGATATATCATGGTTTTTATGGTTTTTAACAATGATATAAGTTTTTTTTATTGAGTCTTTTTGGTTATAGCATGTCTGGAGCATAATTGGAGATTTTGGAACCTTTTGGAGCATTCTGAGTTGAAGCCACGAAGCACCTAGCTCGAAGAAGAAAGTATGCCATATGGTGACGCTCGTCACCAAGCTGGTGACGCTCGTCACCCACCAAGGAAGGAGGTCGTGGCCTGTTTTTAAAAGATTGGGAAGAAATTGCAGTTTTGGCCCAGAAGTTCCAGTTTTTGCAAAAAGGCCCCAGATCGTGTTTTAGCTTGTATATTAGGTTTTTCAGCCATTCTTTTGGCATCTATCTTGTATCTTATTATTTTGGAGAGCTTTAGAGAGAGATTTGTAGTAGGGCTTTTGGAGAGACAAATCAGACTCCTTCAGAGCAGATTTCGAACTCTTTTATTTCTACTTCTTATTTCTTTTATGGAATCTATTCTTTTCATGATGTTTTCTCAAATCATCATGTCTGAGTAGTTTGTTAGTTAAGTTAGGGCTTTTCAAAGGTTGAAGAAGAGTTTGTAGAATTGCTAAAAACTTATAGGAAATTCATTGGTTCTTCATCTGTGCTTGCATTCATATCGATTTCTTAGACACATCATCTGGATTTCGAAACCCTAGGTTTTTTGATAGATGTGAGAGCATTATTAATCACCTGAACTAGTATTAGATGAGCAAAACGCCCTAGTACAAAGAGATTTGGCTTAGGAGTTTTGTGAACAATTGAACCTGATCATTACTGCATGTTTAGGTTGTTAGGGTTTGCAAAGAGATTTGAAACTCTGTGATTTAGACATAGATAACTTCTGCAATGAGAATTGATTAGTTATATCTTTGCGATTCATGTTCAAGACGGTTTTAATTCATTCCTGATTGCATGCATTCTACACTCTCGGATTCAACCTGCGAACTGTCTTGACTTAGCGCCTTTAGCCTTCTGAACTTTAAGAACAAGCGTAAAAACGCCCTCTTGCATTTATTTTACTGTTTTGCATTACATTCATTATTTATCGCTTAGCTTAATCTGAATCTATAATCGCTAGTGTGGTTTACATACTCCCTTGGGATTCGATAACCTCTTGTACTACAACTGCTTTTGTTGTGCACTTGCAGTAGTTTTATTTGGGTAAAACCTGACCCTATCATGTACATGACGAAAAGGAGTTAACTTTTAAATATTTAAAGAAAGAGGTACTTAGAATAAATTCACCCCACCACTGGATGATGGTGATGATGGTTTCATTAGGGACTGAAGATATATTGAACCAAAGGCCATCGAAATGCCTTCTGATGGCTGCCACAATGACTCGTCTTGGGGCATTATCATTACCAAACCTACAATGTAAAGATCCCCAAGAAAGCAAGTAGATTAGGTTAAAGTAAAACCAAGCAAGCAAGCAAATTACCTTAAACTAGAACCGACATTGCAATTTCAAGGGATGAGGTAAAGAAATTAACTTACAACAGTGCTCCATTCTCCCTCTGAGAATGCAGAACCGGCATCATTAGTCGTGCCTTGCTGGTGAAAAGTGCGTCCATGAACATATGTCCACCAAGAACGCCTATGCCATGTCCACGACCACGCCCACCTCCTCTACCTCCACCGCCGGCGTTGCCGGCATTTCCTCTCCCCTGATTTCCGACACCACGGTGGCCACCACCACCGCCGTAAATCGGTGGACCGCCACCACCGTGAACGGACGGAATGCCACTACCGTCAACGAGTGGAACACCACGACCATTAACAGGTGGGTTGGCATAAACGCGTCCATTACCACTTGCCAGACGTCCCCTTCCTCGTCCACCACCACGGCCACTAGGGAAACGACCACCACCAGCTCCTCCGGGAATCATCTGGGAAGGACAAAAAAGAAAGTGTATTATAAATATATGTATTTAGAAGATAGTCTATTAAAGAGAGGTTGATATTGTGGTTTACCTTAGGAATCGAAATGTGGGATAAAGTGAACAAAACTAAAACTTGAAGAAACTAAGATCTGAAGCGGAAGTTGTGACGAGATAGTGCATCAAAATCAAGGGCTTTAAAAATGATTGAGAACAAATTAATCTGAAATATTATACTCTTTACTTATTGTGCTTCATTTCGAACTTAATACATTTTGTACAAATTTCTTCATTACTTACATAATTCCATAATTGTTTCACACAGTCCCTTGATCGTTTGTTCCTAATGACGAACCCAATTCTATAAATTTTTCAAATTCTAAATATTTAATTGTTGAGATTTTTGTATCAATAATATTGAATATTTGAGTTTGATGGTAAAATATATCTGTTCATTAAAAGATACAATCAAAACATATGAACTTTTAGTCATCTTGGACAAAGTTACATTCAAATCCAACAGTTAAAAACGGTTTTAGTATGAAACAATATAGATATAAATGATGAATTTAAATACTAAATCTGAGGATGCAGCATTACAGATTAATGCTAAAGACCGTTTTTTTTTGGTGAAAAAGGCCAATGCTAGAGATCTTAGGTTATCAAAACCTTTAGAGCAAGTTCTATAGAAACATTATTAATATGAATTTTATTGATTAATTATTAATATTTTGTATATTTTATGTATATAAGACACTTTATAGTATTTTATTTTTTTAAAGTATACAATAAAAACATTTTGATGGGTGCCTTAAAAAAATATAAATATATATATATATATATATTTTTAATAAATTTAAGTAAAAACTTTTGTTAATAATTTTTAAAACATAATACACTTTCAAAAATATAATACATAAAAATATATAAATTATAAATGTGTAATTTTGAAACTGAAATTTTTTATCGTCCACTTACAGTTTGTCATGTATGCATTCTTAATTTAGATATTAATATCTTATTTTAAACATTAATATAAAATATTAAATATTGTAAACCATTTTTTTATTTAATTGTATTATTAAGAATATTTGTTTAAACATTCAAAGGTGGGTTTAGTCTTAGGATAGAGCCTTTATTCCAGGGATCGACAACGTATATCATCCTTTCGCATCTTACACTAATGCTTTGACAAAATTTTATAATGTCAAAAGCCTCGAAGATACCAATAACACTCGTTCTCGGAGACCATGCCAAAGTCCTTTGGACCTTACTTCCTTTGCGGTCAAAAGTGTTCTTTTTTATTTATTTTTTCCCCTTTTCTCTAAAGCTTGGTCTTTTTTTTTTTTTTTTTTTGGCTAAAACGCTGGATCATTTGATTTCAAAATTACATTAATCATGAGCTTTTCATTTAACTTCATTTTTCAAATTTAATACTTATGTGAACAAACGATGCAAGCTGGCCCCTGAGTTTTGAATGGCTCCAAGCTGGAAAAAAAAGTGCTGTTTCATAATTTATTAAGCTTAAGAAATATATCATAAATATATCAAAATAAAAGTCACAAAATACTTTAGGACACTAGAAATCACTATATTATTTTTAAAATATGATTCTCCTTATATTATTTTCTTGTAAACTTGTAAAGTCAAATTTTCCAGTCATTCTTCTTTCCCTTGACAATATCGATAATTCATTCAGTCTTTTTTATAACATATTCGACCGTATATAAGATTTTATAAGTTTTAACTTTGAAAAGCTTCTTTCTCTTTCTGTCCGGCAACTGAAACTGAAATAGTCATCATTATACACTATTAAGTAAATGTATTTGGATAACAACTTTGCATCTTTTTCAGATAATCCAGTATCTCTACTACTTTCTTAATCTCTTTTGGTAAAGTTTCTTTCAAAAGCTTTAGCTCTAAAAATAAATCATTAGCATCAAGATCAAAATCATTATTATGTTTCAGAGAAACTTTAAGGTTCGCACAAAAAGCCATCAACTTGTCATCATTTGCTAACATCAGCTTCTTTAAGTCAAATAAAAAGCCAAAAGTTCTTTCACAACTTTGAAATTGATCAAACCTTGTTTCAATAGAAACCAAACCTTGATCTATGATTTTGATGAAGTAGTTGATCCTGAAATTTTCTTCGATGCTAATATCATATCTTCTCCACTATTTTCAGGCTCTTCATCATGAAATCGTTTCCTTTTACTGAGACGTTTTGCTTTCACGGAGAATACATGATCAATTTCCATCTCAAAAGAAATCCGTTCAGCTTCTGCTTTTGTTGCTTGAAAACCTGTCTCTCTATAGCTTTTAAAATATGCAACTAGTCCTCCAAGTTGAGCAATAGCAATATCAATATCCATTTCTTCTGACTGCAGGATCTTGCTTACTTTGTTAACAGCAAACAAAAGTTCATACCAAATAATCATTCCAAACAAAAACTAAAAACTTCCAATTCCATGGATTTCACTCAATGCAAGAGACTCAGCGTCGCTTCTTGTTTTTGGATTACCATTGTTTCCTATCAAATAAAACAAAGCATCTCGTATCTTAAGAGCTTGAAATCATATTGATTTAATGCTTTTGACGTGGCTCTCCCAACGAGTTTGTGACAATAACTTGACTGTAATACCATCTACAATCTCTCTGAAAACTTCACAATTATTTGTAGAAGAAGCAAACTGTAGAAATCAAGAGAACTCTGTGTTTTTTCATGAGTTATACTAAAAGTATATATATAGAGATACAATCGACCTAATGAGATACTCTACTTCTATACAAGTAAGGTATATTTAGCATATGTTCAAATTCTAAAGATATGAATCCTAAATACGCCTTGATATGCACTTCTTATCGCCAATACCCGCCCACAATTGGACCGTGTAGATTGCACACTTCCAACTTGGACATCAAGATATTAAATTGAACTTTGTCCAATGTCTTCGCCAGAACGTCCGCTAGTTGTTCTGTTGTGCGCACATGAATTGTTATAATCACTCCCTCTTTAATTGCATCACGAACATGATGACAATCCACTTTGACATGCTTAGTATGTTCATAAAAAACGGGATTTGCAGCAATGTGAATAGCAGATTTACTATCACAAATTAATCGAGCAGGTTTGGACTGCGCGAACCCCAAGTCTGCAAGCATTTGATGAAGTCATTTAATCTCCCGAGTAGCAACGAATATTGCTCTGTACTCGGCCTCCACAGTAGAATGAGAAACCACATCTTGCTTCTTTGTTTTCCACGAGATGGGAGAGCATCCAAGTAACGCGACATAGGCAGTTAAAGAACGACGAGTCATGGGACAAGCTGCACAATCAGCATCGCAATAAACTAAAAGCTGAAGATCAGAATCAGACCGAAGCAAAATCCCCTGACCTGCTGTGCCTTTGAGAAATCTTACCACACGAAGAGCTGCATCCCAATGTCGCTCCTGTAGCTTCTTCTTAAATTGAGAATGTATGTGTACTGAATAGCAAGTATCAGGTCTCCTATTTTTGTGAGATAGATAAGACGACCAACTAATCTTCTATATCACGCAGGCTCAGACATGTAATCACTCTCATCTGTCTCCAAATGATGATCCTACCCCATTGGAGTAAGAGCCGGCTTGCACCCTAGCATACCTATTTTAGAGACAATGTCTAACGCATATTTGCGTTGTGTTAACATGATGCCTTCTTCACCACGGGCAATCTTAATGCCAAGAAAGTACTTGAGCTTCCCAAGATCTTTCATGTGGAAACAACGCCCAAGATACTCTTTAAATTTCACAATCGCAGCACTATCATTTCCACAAATCACCAAATCATCAACGTATATGAGTTCTCGCATCTCAACATCACCACATGAATAAGAAAAGAGAGTAATCAGTGTAGGATTGAACAAACCCAGGTTTGGTGAGGGCCGCAGTGAGCTTTTCGTACCAACAATGAGATGCTTGATGAAGTCCATAAAGTGACTTGTGCAACCTGTACACCTTGTTTGGATCTGAGTGAGTAAAACCTTGAAGAAGCTTGATATAAATCTCTTCTTGTAAATCCCCATGTAGAAAAGCATTGTGTACATCCATTTGGTGTACCTCCCAATTGTTGCATGTGATTATACGTAGTAAAATTCTCATGGTAGTCATCTTAACTACCGGCGCAAACTGTGCCAAAAAAATATGTGCCTTCTATCTGACGATTCCCAAGTACCACCAATCTCGCTTTATATCGTTCCACTGTCCCATGGAATGATACTTAATCTTATATACTCACATCGTACCGAGAGCTACTTTTCCTAGAGGGAGGTCAACGATGCCCCATGTTTTAAGATCTCCGAGCCAATGCACGTATGTCCCCATTTCATTCCTCCATCGCTCATCTTCCATGGCCTCACGGAAACTTCATGGTTTAACATTACTGGTTACAACTGCAAGAAAAACTCTATGGCTAGCAGAGAACCACTCATTAGTGAAAATATCAGTGAGAGTATATAGTGAATTACCTTGGACCTAATCGAGAGGAGCGGTAAGAGATTCAAATGGAACGTGATGGGTATTGTCTTTACAGATGGCGTTGTAGGTAACGAAGTCTTTTAGCTTCACTGACTTCAATTTCTCTCGACAGCCTCTACCCACATTTTGATCAGTTGAGCTTCAGAAACCTCCTCGGCAACTGTTTCTAATACAGGTCCAACCTCTAAAATTGCATCGTCAATGTCTGCCGGATAACCAATATCTTCCAATGACTCCATTTCAGAGGCGTCATCTACTTCACAACTTGGAACCCCTGAATCGACAGTGTTAGGACTGCTCCCTTCTGAAGCTGAATCCCCTGAATCGACAATATTAGGACTGCTCCCCCTGTTTTTTGTATTCCCCAAAGGATGCATTAACCAATCCTCATTTAAACTCTCCATGTTCACTTGAGGAGACGACTCTATGAACACCGAAGTAGCAAAAGAAAATTATAATTCCTTAAAGATCACGTCTCGTGACACAAAGAATTC